AAAAACTTTATTTTCTTTTATTTATTTTATATATATATATTTTTTTTTTTAAACCCCTCACCATAGACTGGACTACTATGTATGACATGTAGTTTGTCAACCTGTGTTCGCTTCTGCTTCATCTTGCATTGATGTACATTACCCTACCCTGTGCTACTTCTCCTGTTTGTATCCCCCCTTCTTCTACATCTATTTGGAATAGTAACCTATCCGAGTCTCATTGCATCTTTGACACACTCGTTTTTTAGAATGGAGTAGAGTACAGCAGTTGGGACGAAGCTGAATGGCGAGGAGTGGGCTAGTTATCCGATAAACAGTGAGAAAGCACCCCTAATACAAATAGTATATAAAATCTTTCATAAGCTCCTTTTCGTATTTATGCACCTAAAGGCTTTGCAAGCAGCAAGCAAATGATGCACCCTAACGCTCTGCAGGATGCCCTGGACATGCGCATACTTTTCACTCTTAAATATGTTGCCTATTCTTCAGACCGAAATTGAATGATACAGAACACGAAAAGATGTGAATGTGCAAGTGCGCAGAAGGTTTCAACCTAGGACAGGAGAGGGAGGGAGTGACAGACGAAAAGTAAGCCTACAACCTAACTTTTATGCTTGTAATGCAATGGAGGACTCAACAAGGATCGCACACCCATGATATTGTTCAATTTTGGTCACAGTAATCTCATGGGTGTATTCTGTTTGTATGTATGCTACTCTACTCTGCACTATTCTACCTGGATAAGTAGCCTAGTCTATCTTATCCTGCCGTAGTCGTTGACGCACTCATTTAAACTCGAGTTGCATCTTTACAATGGTTTCCAATAGTGGTTAGAGCCAAGATCAGATCTTTACACAGCCGACCAGAACTACCTTGTACTTTGTCAACCACAGACCAGGACTACTACAGTAATTACATATTATATTTTATATTACATATATATTGTTGTATACATGTAGTTTATCAACCTGTTTTTGCTTCTGCTTTATCTTTTACCATACCCTATGCCACTTCTCCTGTCTGTCACCAACCTTGCTCTACATTTATTTGGCATAGTGTATTATCCGAGTCTTCTTTGCGCAATCGTTTTTCAAAAAAGAATACAGTACAGTACAGCAGCTGGGACGAAGTTGAATGGAGAGGAGTGGGCTAGTTATCCGATAAACAATAAGACAGTACCCCCTAATATACAGTAATCAATATGTAAACCCTTGCATAAGCTCCTTTTCGTATTTATGTACCTAAAGGTTTTGCCCTGGAAATGCGCGTACTTTTTGACTCTTATATTCTCTGCCCATTTACCCTACTATTGTCTACTTGAAGGGAGGTATGCAAGGAAGACTGCAGATCGAAATTAAATAAAAAGTGAACAGATGTGAACATGCAAGCGTGCAAGAGGCTTCAACCTAGGACAGGAGAGGGAGGGACAGATGAAAAGTAAGGCGACAACAAGACTTTTCTGGTTGTAATGCTGCAGGATGTGCTAGAATATGTCTTCCTGCCCATATTCTCTGTGTTCATGTCCTCCGTTACTCAGAACGCAGGCTGTGCAAAATGTCCATAGGAGAAATGGATGACGCAACAAGGGTCAACAAAGGGCAAGAACGGCAAGAACCACACCCATAATATTGTTCAATTTTAGTCGCAATTATCGCGTGGGTGTATTCTGTCTGTATGTATGCTACTCTACTCTGCGTAATTCTACCTGGATAACTAGTCTAGTGTATCCTACCCTGCAGTAGTCTTTGACACACTCATTTAAACTCGAACTTTATCTTTACAATAGTGGTTAGAGCCAAGGTCAGATCTCAGCACAGCCGATCAAAACTACCATGTACTTTGTCCACCCGAGACCAGGACTACTAATTATATATTACATATATCATTTGTATGTAGTTGATCAACCTGTGTATCTTTTACCCTACCCTATACCACTTCTCCTGTTTGTATCCCACCAGGCTCTACGTTTATTTGGTAAGGTATATTATCCAAGTCTCATTGCATCTTTGGCACAATCGTTTTTAGAATAGAGTAGAGTACAGCAGTTGAGACGAAGCTGAGGAGTGAGAGGTCGTTATATTATACGTAAAGGTTCCCCCCCCGACATATATATATATATTAAAGATCACTGCAGTATAGAGTAGGTTTCAATTGAAAGAACAAGCACGGGGATGTTAACGCTCCCAAAATGTTTGAAGATTCAAAGTTGACGCTCACATCACTGGCGGTTGAGGCTGCGTGGTGCGCATGCGAGGAGTTGCGAACACCTTTGATGCATTACATTTTGCGCAGCCGCGCGAAGGCACGGGTTGTGCGGTGCAACTTGCGTGCGAAGAACTTCACAAGCGCACTGCAAAGGAGACTGTGGACACCCAGCTTCAGCCAGAAGTTCAAGTGGCTTGGCTGCCAGTTCTTCAGCGGACTGGGCATTGCTGCAGTGCCTGATGCATTTCCAGCACTTGCTCAGGAAGAGCTTTTGGAAGAAGCTGCGCAGGAGCGAGGGTCCTGCAAAGCGTGCAAACGAGAGTTGTCTTGTCCGCTGGCCTCCAACCTACTAGCGATGGCCTCCACCCTAGTAGCGATGGCCTCCAACCTAAGAGCGATGACCTCTAACTTACTAACAAACTAGATCTGCCCTTGTCAAGACTTGTTGCAGCCCACGAGCCTTTTGGCAGGACCTTCCGAAGCTCCTGGGGAAGGAGACGTCCGGTTGCCAGATATCAGTCTTGGGCCTCTGTCCAGAAGATTACCAGGTGCTGTTTTTCCAGGACATCTCAGGACCACTCTCGCACTGACCCAAAACCACCGTGTGGGCGCATCCATGTTCTGGGACTCAATAACGGCGCATTGTGTGAGGTGACCTTGCAACGCCGCGGTTAAGAATTGAATGAAATTCAATGCACGATGCAGCGCGAGCCATTCAGTGACTTGGACTACGGCGCCTGTACTTATATAACGCTGTTATATAACACTCCCGTGAAACAATCTAGCACGACACTATTGCAAGACACGCAAAAATGGGTGCAATGTCATGCACCATCTTGATGGAGGCATCGTTGTCATCCTTCAAGTCCTTCCATGCGCGCAATCTGTCCATAACGGATTGAGTCCTTTGAGCATGGATTGATTCTGTAGCTTCTTGTTACTAGTAGTAATACACTTACGTACTTGTAGCGTCCTTCCTACTAGTAGCGATGCACCTTCTTACTAGTAGCTTCTTGCTACTATGGACTGATATTCGATCATGTCTTCTATGCCCTTTTCCAAAAGCTGAAAGAGCTGCAGAGTAGAGCGGCTTTGAGCAGGGTAGAGGAGGGCAGCCTTTCTCTCACTTTTCCTCAAGCGCCCCAGGCCATTGTGGGTGTTCTTGTACTTTTGTTGTCTCATCTATTTTTTCCCTTGCCTCACTCCTGGCCGTTGGAGCAGAGCGCAACCCTGGCATTGCTGCATTGCTTCCGAGTTCGTTCGGAGCACGTTTGCGAGCTTGCAACCCGGAGGAGCAGGCAGCGAAGAAGAAGGAGCTGTGTTGTGAGCAATGGGAGCCATAGCTCTAGATTTTAAGGCCTAACACAATTTGTTGTTTTTTGTGCAATTGCGGCTGACACACGCACACACACCCCAACGCCCACCACTTTCTTTAGCTACGCAGAAGAAGGAGGCTCACTCTCGTGCATTCTTTTTTAGAGATCATGCTTTAGTTCAACTAGGCTTCCTTTCGACATCAACACCCACTCTTCCTCCTATCGTTGTTCTTCTAAATCTTTGAGCCCACAGATGATGTCTTCTCCAGGAAGCAGCAGCGGCTGCCAAGAAGCAGGCAGATCGCGTTTGTGTTATTTCATCTCAGTCAGTTTTGCCGTTCGAACGCCACTTGTACGGAGGAAGAGGCAAGCAAGAAGCTAGATTCTTGTCGTTTAGCATTTTCACTTTCAATTTCGTGAAAAAGGTGGAAGAGCAAGAAGCTCGAAGAAAGAGAGAGGCATTGAACAGTTGAACCCATATTTTTTGCTGGTCAACATCTGGACCGTCACACACACAATGGCCTTGGTAGGAGGAAGCTGGGGCAATCAAAAAGCAGGCAAGTGTGGTTTCTTGAGGTGAGATGTTACCGTCGGCACTGGTATGAACATTTAAGATACTGTATTATCCTGGGTTGCTACCATTTTCTCTCGGAGAGCCATCAAGACAGCCTTTGCAACGGGGAGGAGGAAGCTGTAGCAAAAAAGAAGCAGGCAGCACACAGGGCTTTTGAGATTTTGAGAGTGAACTTTGTTTGCTATGCTGTTTTGCCACTCTATCGAAAAGCAATCACAGCTTTTGCATTGAGGAGGAGGAAGCCGCCGCAAGAAAGAAGCAGGCAGCGCACAGCATGTTGACAGTTTTTGGAGAGAGGCCTGTGTATGTTGTACGACACCTTTTTGCTACCAGGAGGAGGAAGCCACGGCAAGAAAGAAGCAGGCAGTGCTGTTTTGTTGTCCACTTTCTTCAGTACAATGCAACCGCTACACACGCCGAGGAGGAAGAAGCAGCGGCGAGAAAGAAGCAGGCTGCAGTGTGCTTTGGAGTGGCTCTTTATCACTGGTAGAGTCACTATTGACTATTAACACCAGGAAGAGGAGGCTGCAAGGAAAAAGCAGGCTGTATGCGCTTTTTGCCTTGCAAAGTGTTTTGTAGCTTATACCTATGGGTGTAGACAAACCTTATGTGGATGTGAGTCAGATGAAGGAGACCAAAGAGACATGCCTGTTTAACCATGGTATCCGGAAATGCTAAGGGTAAGGATAGACTATACATTCTTTTCGACCCACAGTCTGTGGAACGGTCCACTGCCATAGTTCCGAACTGCCATCAACTTTTCGCTCGTTATGCGCTTTTCGAAGGATGGGAAAGGCAAAGGCAAGGAAGACAGGAAGGACTATCTCAGAGCGGCGATCAAAGGGCTTGCAGCATGTCACGCGTCGCGCAATTGTGTGAAAAGACGCTTCTTTTTTCCTTCTCTGTTGCTCTTTGTTTTTTTGCGGGACTTTTCTTTGGACTTCTCGACGGTTCATTTTCCTTTCTGTCAGCAGCTGTATACCATGTCGATGGCCGAAGAGGACAAGATGGAAAGGGCAACCCACTGAACAGTTTTTCGTTGTTTACTGAGGACTCACTACTGACGCAGTCCATGTCAAACACATATTTTGCTGTCGCAAGCCTAAGCTTGAGGCAAAGGGAAAGAGGATGGTAAGGGCAAAGGTAAAGCAACAGGCAAAGGGGAGAAAGGCAGGATGTTGCAGTGGATTTTGGGTTTGCTGGGAAACGTATTCCCGAATGCGTAGCGAAGGGTTCTCGTTTAACTCTGGGGGTCTGGGGGTAGAGCCTTGTTCGCGACCCGTTGTTTCTATCTTCGCAACCGTCCGCAACCGTTCGCAACCGTCCGCAACCGTTCGCAGTAGAGCGCTAAGGCGCTGCCAGTGGGGGAAGCTTTTGGAGAGGGTTTCGGATGAAAACGTGACGTGTCAGATTCGTGTGAAATAGCGAGGAATCGTGTGGAAATGTAAGATGTTGAAGTGTGGAGGATGATTTCACTGCGCAGGCGCAGCGTTTTGTGAGATCTGCAGTTTTCTGCGCAGTTCCATTGGGATTAGCGTGTGGAGAGTCGTGTTTTTCGGGTGTTGGATGTGGCCGTGCCATTGGGATTTGCGTTCAGGGTGTGGCATCGAAGCTCTGTTTTCGTGACAAGTCTCAGTTGAAATGCAAATTTTGTTGGATGGGGGTGTGCTCACAACGGGTCGCAATCATTCCAAACGTGTGGTGTGGTGCAAATTTTGTTGAAGCTCACATGAGATGATATTGTCACTTTTCGTGGCAGGCGCAGTACTTTGTGCGGGTTTTGAGGTATGGAAGTGCAATTTTCGTGGCAGGCGCAGGGAGTCGTGAGGTTGCGAGGTGTGACGGAGGTGACATTTCGTGGCAGGAGCAGTACTTTGTGCACGTCAGACGTGTGGACGTGGAAAGATTCGTGGCAGGCGCAGGGAATCGTGAGGTTCTGAGTTGTGGTAGAGGTGAATGTCGCTGTCACATTGGGATTGGCGTGTGAGCGGGTGTTGTTTGGAGGGGCTGGAATCGCGAAACTGCTTGGCAGGGCTGCGTGATGTGTGTGCTCCGATGGGTGTTTCCGCTTGACTTTGGAGGAAGTCTCGTACGAAACGCTCGTTTTGCAGACTTTGACATGTAAGTTTTGAGGAAGTCTCGTACGAAACGCTCGTTTTGGAGACTTGACGTGTGACTTTTGGAGGAAGTCTCGTACGAAACGCTCGTTTTGGAGACTTGACGCATGACTTCTGGAGGAAGTCTCGTACGAAACGCTCGTTTTGGAGACTTGACGCGTGACTTTTGGAGGAAGTCTCGTACGAAACGCTCGTCTTGCAGCCTCGAAGCGTGTGTCCTGCAAGACTGTCCCAGATACAGTGTCCCACAAGAGTGTCCCGTATGAGTGTCCCACAAGAGTGTCCCACAAGAGTGTCCCGCAAGAAGTGTCCCACAAGAGTGTCTCACAAGAGTGTCCATTAAGAGTATCCCACAAGAGTGTCCTAAAAGAGTGTCCCACAACAGATCACAAGAGTGTCCTACAAGAGTGTCCCACAAGAGTGCCCTACAAGAGTGTCCCACAAACAACTTCACAAGAGTGTCCCGCAAGAATGTCCTACAGGAGTATCCCAGAAGAGTTTCCTACAAGAGTGTCCCACAAGAGTGTCCCACAAGTGTGTGTCAAAAGAGTGTCCTACAAGAGTGTCCCACAAGAGTGTCCTTCAAGAGTGTCGCACAAGAGTGTCCCGCAACAGTGTCCCACAAGAGTGTCCCGCAAGAGTGTCCTACAAGAGTGTCCCCCAAGTGTGTCCCATAAGAGTGACCCACAAGAGTGTCCTATAAGAGTGTCCCACAAGAGTGTCCTACAAGAGTGTCCTACAAGAGTGTCCCACAAGAGTGTCCTACAAGAGTGTTCCACAAGAGTTTCCTACAAGAGTGACCCACAAGAGTGTCCTACAAGATTGTCCTACGAGAGTGTCCCACAAGAGTGTCCCACAAGAGTGTCCTATAAGAGTGACCCACAAGAGTGTCCTACAAGAGTGTCCCACAAGAGTTTCCTACAAGAGTGTCACACAAGAGTGTCCCACAAGAGTGTGTTACAAGAGTGTCCTGTAAGAGTGTCCCACAAGAGTGTCCTATAAGAGTGTCCCACAAGAAGTGTCCTGCAAGAGTGTGGTGTAAGAGTGTCTCGCAAGAGTGTCCTACAAGAGTGTCCGACAAGAGTGTCCCATAAGAGTGACCCGCAAGAGTGTCCTATAAGAGTGTCCCACAAGAGTGTCCTACAAGAGTGTCCCGTAAGACTGTTCCACAAGAGTGTCCTGTAAGAGTGTTCCACAAGGGTTTCCTACAAGAGTGTCCCACAAGAGTGTCCCACAAGAGTGGCCCACAAGAGTGTCCTACAAGAGTGTCCCACAAGAGTGTCCTACAAGAGAGTCCCACAAGAGTGTAAGAGTGCTCCACAAGAGTGTCCTACAAGAGTGTCCCACAAGAGTGTCCTGTAAGAGTGACTCACAAGGGTGTCCTACAAGAGTGTCCCACAAGAGTGTCCTACAAGAGTGTCCCGCAAGAGTGTCCTCCAAGAGTGTCCGAAAACAGTGCTCCGCAAGAGCTTCCTACAAGAGTGGCCCGCAAGAGCGCAAGAGTGTCCTACAAGAGTGTCCCAAGAGTGTCCCACAAGAGTGTCCTGTAAGAGTGCTCCACAAGAGTGTCCTACAAGGGTGACCCACAAGAGTTTCCTTTCCCTACAAGAGTATCCCACAAGAGTGCCCCGCAAGAGTGTCCTGCAAGAGTGTCATTTGGGCATATGGAACGTGTTTGCATTCGGGTTCGTTGATTCCGAATGCGTAGCGAAGGGTTCTCGTTTAACTCTTGGGGGTCTGGGGGTAGAGCCTTGTTCGCGACCCGTTGCTTCTATGTTCGCAACCGTCCGCAACCGTCCGCAACCGTTCGCAACCGTTCGCAGTAGGACGCTAAGGCGCTGCCATTGGGGGAAGCTTTTGCAAGTGACTTTTCATGGATGTGTCACGTGTCAGTTTGCGACGCTATTCCATTGTGATTTGCATGAAAATGACATGTCGCGCAAGAAGCGTGATGCATTTCGCTGCACAGGCGCAGTGGTTTGAGAGATCCGCAGTTTACTGCGCAGTTCCATTGGGATTAGCGTTTGGAGAGTCGTGTTTTTGGGGTGTTGGATGTGGCCGTGCCATTGGGATTTGCGTTTCAGGGTGTGGCATCGAAGCTCTGTTTTCGTGACAAGTCTCAGCTGAAATGGCGATTTTGGTGGATGGGAGTGTGCTCAGAACGGGTCGAAATCATTCTAAACGTGTGGTGTGGTGCAAATTTTGTTGATGATATTCTCACTTTTCGTGGCAAGCACAGTACTTTGTGCTGATTTTGAGGTGTGGAAGTGCGATTTTCGTGGCAGGCGCAGGAAATCGTGAGGTTGCGAGGTGTGACGGAGGTGACATTTCGTGGCAGGCGCAGTACTTTGTGCGCGTTAGACGTGTGGATGCGGAAAGATTCGTGGCAGGCGCAGGGAATCGTGAGGTCGTGAGTTGTGGTAGAGGTGAATGTCGCTGTCACATTGGGATTGGCGTGTGAGGGGGTATTGTTTGGAGGGGCTGGACTCGCGAAACTGCTTGGCAGGGCTGCGTGATGTGTGTGCTCCGATGGGTGTTTCCGCTGGACTTTTGGAGGAAGTCTCGTGCGAAATGTTCGTTTTGCAGACTTTGACATGTGAGTTTTTGAGGAAGTCTCAAACGAAACGCTCGTTTTGGAGACTTGACGTGTGACTTTTGGAGGAAGTCTCGTACGAAACGCTCGTTTTTGAGACTCAGAGTGTCCTACAAGAGTGTCCCACAAGAGCTTCCCACAACAGTGTCCCACAAGAGTGTCCCACAAGAGTGTCCCACAAGAGTGTCCTACAGGAGTATCCCACAAGAGTCAAGAGTGTCCCACAAGAGTGTCCCACAAGAGTGTCCCGCATGAGTGTCCCACAAGAGTGTCCCACAAGAGTGCCCCGCATGTCCCACAAGAGTGTCCCACAAGAGTGTCCCACAAGAGTGTCCCGTATGAGTGTCCCACAAAGTGTCCCACAAGAGTGTCCCACAAGAGTGTCCCACAAGAGTGTCCGACGAGAGTGTCCCATAAGAGTGACCCGCAAGAGTGTCCTACAAGAGTGTGCAACAAGAGTGTCCCGTATGAGTGTCCCACAAGAGTCTCCTACAAGAGTGTCCCACAAGAGTGTCCTACAAGAGTGTCCCGTAAGAGTGTCTCACAAGAGTGTCCCACAAGAGTGTCCCCGTAACCATGTCCCACCACAAGAGTGTCTCACAAGAGTTGAGACTGTCCCACAAGAGTGTCCTATAAGAGTGTCCCACAAGAGTGTCCCACAAGAGTGCCCTACAAGAGTGTCCCACAAGAGTGTCCTACAAGAGTGTCCCACAAGAGTGTCCTACAAGAGCACCCTACAAAGGGTTTCCTACAAGAGTGTCCTATAAGAGTGTCCCACAAGAGTGTCCCACAAGAGTGTCCTACAAGAGTGTCCCACAAGAGTGTCCCGCAAGAGTGTCCCAAATGAGGAGTGTCCTACAAGAGTGTCCCGCAACAGTGTCCCGCAAGAGTGTCTCAGAAGAGTGTCCCTTAAGAGTGTCCCACAAGAGTGTCCCGCAACAGTGTCCCACAAGAGTGTGTCCCACAAGAGTGTCCCACAAGAGTATCCCACAAGAGTGTCCTACAGGAGTGTCCCACAAAAGCGTCCCACAAGAGTTTCCTACAAGAGTTTCCCACAAGAGTGTCCCACAAGAGTGCCCTACAAGAGTGTCCCACAAGAGTGTCCTACAAGAGTGTCCCACAAGAGTTTCCTACAAGAGTGTCCCACAAGAGTGTCCCACAAGAGTGTCCCACAAGAGTGTCCCACAAGAGTGCCCTACAAGAGTGTCCCACAAGAGTGTCCCACAAGAGTGTCCCACAAGAGTGTCCTACAAGAGTGTCCTACAAGACTGCCCCACAAGGGTGTCCTATAAGAGTGTCCCACAAGAGTGTCCCACAAGAGTGTCCTACAAGAGTGTCCCACAAGAGTGTCCCAAAAGAGTGTCCTACAAGAGTGTCCCGCAAGAGTGTCCCGCAAGAGTGTCCCAAATGAGTGTCCCACAGGAGTGTCCCACAAGAGTGTCCCGCAACAGTGTCCCGCA